CCTTCTGTTCTTTCATGGAAAAGAGTTTGTGAACACTAACTGATCCTTGATGGAGACCCCTTCTTTGAACTGAACAGCATTGTTTCACATTATAGTTGAAATATGTAAACATGTCGATGACCAGATTTAAAAAAAAATTATATCCCTGTGCTAAACCTGCTGATTCAGAATTTTCATTTTATAGTGCAATATTTGACTCTGATGAATGAAACCTTGAAATGGCTTTATTTAATTTCACATTTTCTGAATTTTAAGTCCTCCATTATCTGCCATCTGTTAAAACTAAAATTAATTAAATCCTATCAATCTGTCGTCGTACGTTATGCCTTCAGCCACTGAATAGGTGTGGTAGTCCTGTTATGAACTTCGCTTGTTTCCTTATTACATCTAACTAGTTACTTGCACAGTTCCAGGGACCTGCAAATCAATCTTGAATATTCACAGCCAGTTCATTGTATCACCTTATTCACCTTGGTCCTGACTTTGTTCCGGGCTTAATTTCTTATTGTTTGCACCGATGCAGTCTGCTTAGAAATGACTAGCTTATGAGTTGTTTTGGTGAAAACAGTTGCGCGCTAGTCATATTTAAAAGACTTCACGATTTGTTTTGCTACAGCAAAGCGGTCATGCCGTATGTTGCGGAGGACTAAAGCGGAGTCAAGTTTTGTTTTTTTTAAGGGTTTTTTAATCCACAACCAATGGCACTCCAGGACAATTGTGTAATACCATCGTGACCCCTGTCAAATTAGGGATTTTTCTCCTTCTTTATTTTTTGTGTAGCATTCTAAAAAACACTTGGGCTGTTCTAGAAACTATTCTAGTATTATTGTTCCATTTTGTAACTGTAGTGGAACTCACAAACCCTCATGACCTCTAACACCTGCAGGTTTTGTTGACTAGGAGATTTGTTCAGTTCATTTAGATAGATGAGGTTTTAGACTAGGATGTGTCTATAAAACGTCTGTTAAAGATAAACATGACAAAGGGACACTTTTAAAATGAGCACTATCAGGGTAGTACGGTACCCATAATATGTTTACTCGGAATGCTTTGCAGTTTCACAGTAATGGCTAAAAACCATCATAATTAATTACTGAACTATGAATAATTGCGATTGGTTAATAGCTATTTTTAATTAATGCAATCTATTAATAGCAACATATTAATACAGCTATTAGTCTATTGTATAATTTACAATTCAGCTGTTTTGAAATACAGCTGTTATTGCCTCGTTATCCCCAAGGTCTTGGCACATTTAATAGAAATTGCACAAGAACGTAAAATGACTGTATTAATCCTTTTAATACTTAGTAGCATACATATACCTCTTAGAATGAAGTTGAACTGAAAATAGATGGCATATCTACTATGTCTGTATGCACAAACAGGAAAACATTTGTTAAGTCTTATTAAGAACACATTTTGTATTTTTTATTGTCCCCTTTTTGCTCTTCCTGAAGCAAATCAAAATAATGTATTTGCCCTGCCCTGCATACAGCTACAGCTTTATTTCCATTCTTCTTCCATTCTCAGATTTCTACCATTCTCTACACAAAGTAGAGATCAGAGGAACAAATACAAACCCCGAAGGTTCACGCAAAATAATTAATAAGATATTAGGTTAGCGTTTCAATACCATCATCGGCCACTAGAAGGCATTCATTTGAGCCATGTGTTTTTTAAAGTGTCAGGAAAATATGCACTGTTGAGTATTTTAAACTTTCCAACGTTGTATATTTTTGTGTGTGTGTACACTTCCCTTTTTACAAATCAACTAACAGTAAAACATTTATTTTCTTAATTATGTGTCATGAATCGAACCAAGACAAAACAGCAAGTAGTAATATTTCTTTTCATACAAAGGTCTCGTCTGAGAAATATAACAGCTTTCTGATATAACAAAATCTTCATGTTTACATGTTTGGTAGTGGAAAAAAGCAGTGCATTTGGACATATCTTCCATGCTAGCAAAAATATATGCAAATGCTGATGGGATAGCATCTTAAAAGCCTGGTGAATTCTTAACCTTAATTCACTACTCTGCAGTGCAGTAAATTGTTCTCTCCACAAGTCTGTTACAATATTTGAAGCTGATACCATTGCACAGCGTTTTGTGGTAACGTTACCAATTGATGAGCAATACAGAAATCTCACTCAAATTCGCTGCTCATGACTCTTAACGTAGTTTCCCTCAAAATCTCCTGACTGTTCCTGGTGGAAAAGAGTGTTCCTTTATATGACAGTAGGGGAGGCTGGGGGAAATATTCAGATACGCGTCTGAATTTCTGGGGATTTTTAAAAAGGCATTTTACGTGTAATTTACGGGTAATGTCAAATCAAGACAGCTATTTGAAAGGGGGGTTGATTTATTTTTAACAGTGTGTATTTTGCCTGCTCAACTAAACATGAAAAGTCTGGATTGGGTAAGGAATGTGCATCTATTATTTCATTACTATTTTCTTGTTAGGATGGGGTCCAGAGTCCTTTTGACTCAGTTAAGGGCTAAAAATCTGTTAAACCTCAGAAAAGGATTAATTGATTGATGCTAACAAGACCGTAGCTTCAATATTCGTTTGGAGGATGGGCCAACTGGCACTTTTTCATTTGTAACTTTTTTTCGTAACATTTGTATCTTTTCTGTGTTCTCTGAACTGGCTTCATCACTCTGCTCTCCTCCCCAGTGATATCTGATGTGTGGTGAGCGTTCTGGTGCACTACGGCTGCCGTCGCATCATCCAGGTGGGGCTGCACATTGGTGGTGGTGGAGGGGAGTCCCCATTACCTGTAAAGTGCTTTGAGTGGAGTGTCCAGAAAAGCACTATATAAGTGTAAGCAATTGTTAATTATTATTATTTGTGTTGGATCAATATAGCTCCTGTTTCTAACTGAATGATTGGTAAATAGGGCCGGCAGATGTTCTTAAGAAAACAGAAACTACCATACGCGGGGTTGCAAAAAATGGGTGCAAAACAAACCAGTACAGACAGATCTCAGCAGTGTTGGATGAATGTTATGTATTAAGGCTGGCGGCTGAAATCGCTTGTGGAGCTCAGCAGGAAGACAACAAGGACTCACACATCTCCTCCCATGACCCCAGTGTCGTCGGCCTCCTGTTGCTCGCCACGCAAGGTGTATAATATACAGCAGCCTGACAGGGATTCGTCTGAACTGTGATCATCCAGCCCATCGTTGACACAGAAAGATTGCATCAAGACTTGCTTAGGGCTGAAACCATTTTATATCTTTCACCTTGAGAAAGCAATCTGTGGTCCTGTGGGTCCTTAAACATTCTGTTATTTCCTCTCAGCCCTGTTTCACAACAATATTGTAATTAACAACCTGATTTCTTGACGGGACTGTGCTCCTGATTGGCAGGTTACATGTCTGTCTGCTATTAAATGCTTGCTACAAAGGTGAAAGTCCACAATTTTTTTTTTTTCTGCAGCCTGGTCTTCACTGACACATGCAGCCAGAGGAAATTAACATGATGTCCTTTCTAGGCATTCATATCCAGAAAAGCAAATGGTTTCCATCATTTTAGGAACTGTCTCTCTGTATGCTCACCTGCAGATTGTCACTGTTCGTGGCTGTCATGACATGAAATCCATGCATCTCCTTGTCCTTTCCATATATATATATATTGATGGGGTGGAAATACTAGGTGATAAGTTGAAGTATTTTGAGATTTCTGTCAATTTATTTTATTCAGTGTGAGGTGAAAACAAAGCATAGGCAATAAATTGCATTGCAGAGCACACACGTCCCAAGCCTGTCATTTTAAAAAGCAATATAAAACAATGTTCTTGTTTATTTGTTTTATTGGCCTTACTGGAAATTTTTGTCTTAATGACAAGTGAAAATAAATACTTTTAACTCCTTCATTCGAGATGAAATCTAATATATAAATAAAATTATGTGTTTGAATTCAAGAGCGTTTATCTCAAAACAAAGTGTTAACTAATCCACTGTTAGAGTGACATGTTACAATGTCAGTCAACTGATCAGAAATCGCCAAACTTCCTCAAAGCCTACAATGTATAGCAAGTATGACTTTTCTAACATTTTTAATATGAGATGAGCTCTGTGGTTTCTAGGAAGGGAAATATTATATGACAGGAGCAAAACAATTAAGTTTTAGCAAATGAAGCCTATTCTAGCTGACAGAGTGCAGGACAACTTCACATTTCACCCAACACCATATGTAAGACTCTGAAGTGTTACTGTTCATAATATAAAAGGTTCAGGAAGAAACATCAAAACCTGATGTTGCCTGACTCAGCTTGAGTTTTCAACAGTATAAGTGAACTAGTATACATCACAAGAACAGGCCTGTTGCAAGTGCATGAGCTAATGTTTCTTCAAGCGCAACAAGACGGGGGTGGGCATGCCTCAATGGGCATGAACCCTATGCTTCCCCCTTTTGTTTTATCTTTCCTTTCCTCAGCAAAGGTTTCCAAGCAGATGCAAATATGTATGGAGACATGGTAAGGAGTGCTACTCTGTCTCCAGCACTATGCAAGTCAAGTTATGCAGTCGGGAGCAATTATGTGAGAAGAAATCTTCTTTAACACATGAACGCCTTCGGTGCAGGCTGACCTGACTACACAGTGGTTCACTGATGAAGCCCTTGACCTAACAGCTTTCTCTTCCTGCTTGCCAAAACAGAAGAGTTGATTTTTCAAAAATACAAAAATAAAGTAAGAAGAACGACTTTGAGACCAACAGGAGGAAAATTCTGCTGGACAACCTTCACCAGCATGCAGCTACACAGGAGAAATGATGAAGCATCCCACAGCAGTGTCACTACGTAGAAAGGTCATGCTCGGTACTAAAATTGCAATGTTTTTGTTTTGACAGTGTCACACATTTCTTACTACAAATTAGGAACTACAGTACCGGACCCCAAGTACAGAAGCCGGACAGACCTAAAAGACTCCAAGTCCCATAGTGCCGACGGAGGCGGCTTCTGTCGGACTTGCGCAATGCTGCAGTAAGACGCGCGGTTATTCCGTTTTATAAAATGGCGGCTTGAAGAGGGGCGAGAGCGGGGTTGGTACAGGTGAAACGTGAAAGCCGGGAACTGAAGTGCTGGGATTTTAAAAATAAGCATTACGTTGAATTCTATTTGCGGTTTTTTTTTTTGAGTTGACGGAGAAAGGTATGTTGTCAGAAAGTTAAGTACAGTGTTAGTGATAATTACGGTTTTAGATGCAAGCGCGCTGGAAACCGGTAGATGTTTTAATCATGTGGTTATTTAAATTGTGTAAAACAGATAACGTTTTGGTGTTCATTTTCACATATTTATATCAAATGTGACTGATAATTTTCATTTAAATCCGTAAATCCATTTTTAAACCAGTCCGATCTCCTAACTCGTATGGCTGTTGCTGTGCAGTAACTGCTTGGCCGACATAGAAATATCTGGAAATAAATACTTAAGCAGTTGAATACATGAAAAGTAAGAAACTTTTTTTAAATTGTGTTGCGTGTGATTTTGACTGTTGTGTTTGCTGCAGACGGTAGCTACTCTACTTAATTGCATATGTGATTTCAATTTTACCTACCTAAATACCTGACTAATCGTATTAGTTTAATATCCATTTTCCGTCATCTCCCGGAATAGCGATTCCGTGGATTGTGAAACCGACATTTCTTCGTTACTTTGAACATATAATTTTGTAATGTGGCTATATTTGCATTCCAAATCAGTCTGACCTTTTTTAACTCGATCTAAACCTATTATTGATATTAATATACATTCTCAGTATGATCGGAAACAGGGTGCCAGTATCCAAGGTGTTTTCTTTCTCCTGTGGGTCAGGATTGTGTAACCGAGATTGTGCACTTACTCAGTCCAGAATTTACACAGTCAGGCTTTCGGTAATGGAAAATTAGGCACAATGTTACACGACACACTTCACATCTTCCCTGGTCAAGGAGTAGATGAGTAGGATTTTAAAGAGCTCTGTGGGAAGATGGATTTGCTATAGAAACACTCCCAAAGGATTTTCTTGAAGAAACAGCCCCTAGTTTTGGTTTGGTACTACATTCCCAGGCTTGAGAGAATAGCCTGGATCTGTAAAAAAGGAATAAAGCCATGCAGTTATTACTGTATGGCAGAATCTATGGCCAGATCCTTTATTATTTAATCAATTAAGTTGAAAGTTCAATATGGCAATAAAGGAGACACTTTGTGACCTCAAAGTTCAGCAAAGCAGTGTATTTGAGGAGCCATGAGATGCGTATCCCTGTTTTATATTACGCAATCACCCTCATCACTGAATTATTTCTTAATATTTTGGGGGTAATTTTCGACAATGTTTATAAAACTAAGGAAGGGAAACCTACTGCCTGGAAGGCAGGCACCTTGGATATTTTCCACCTTCTAGATATTTTTTTCTCTCCGTTGTGCTGGATGGTGTTTCTGATGCACAGTTTGTTCTGTGGCCATTTGTTTTAAAGGGTTCAAAACCAACCCAAAATTTGAAGTGAGCTTTAAAACTTCTACATCTGAAAACATATAGCACTGGCAAACATTCTTGATTTGTATTATGAGTAAGATGCTTATTAATCTTCTTGGAGGGAATCAAACATCTTAATCAAAGCGTGCAGAAGGCCGAAGAGCCTGAAATGAATGTGTTCTTCATTTTTTATATGAGTGGCGCCAACTTGGTTTTCTCCTATGTTTTAATAAGAGGAGTCATTTAAAACATTTTAAAATATGATTATCCTTCTATGGAACATAATGTACATATTATTATTATTATTTATTATTATAATTGCTTACACTTATATAGCGCTTTTCTGGACACTCCACTCAAAGCGCTTTACAGGTAATGGGGACTCCCCTCCACCACCACCAATGTGCAGCATCCACCTGGATGATATGCATTCAAGAACTTGATTAATACAGTTCTGAACTATATAGGATAAATCGGCAGTTGTAACCAACAGCTAGGGATACCTCTAGTGGCACCTGTGTTTGTGTAGGTTTAATATCTAGGATTTTTACTATTGTGTTAGGAAAAACAGGTTACAAACATTACAGTATATTAAAATTGTATAATCTTTTGATGAATGACTGAGTGATTAAAAATTAGCAACATCATTTTGGATAAGCTATGAATCAAACAATTTAATTTGCTACGTCATCCTTTGCAAGATTACCTCAAGATGTCTGAAATGAGGACCACTTTCATCCTGTCTAGCAGTTCTCAAAGTTGGCTTTGGGTAGTCACTTTTAGAAATATATTTAGCTATTATATTTCTAGAATTTATAAGATGTGTCGAATGCTTCCTGGGGATCAGTCATAATTAAATAATTGTTTAACATGAACCCTGTGGATTTCAACTATTGATTGTGTCCATTTAAAATTTACATTGCAAGAATAGATCAAATGATGTGTGTGAAACAAATTGCGTATGCTTCTCAGTTAATTTGTTGCTTTATTCTACTTTTTGTCGTGTTTGTAAACAGCCCTCAAAGCAGTAAAGAGCAGGGAAACGAATGGAACTTGGCTAAAGCAGCTGAATTATGTTCCAGGGCATAACCAACATGTTTAATGTACAATTAGTAGCAGCGCTCCAAGAACATCCATTAACTACAATCTACTAATTGCACATTTTTGTTAGAGGTATTGTAAGCTAATGATGCACTTAATATTGATTAAGAAAGAAACATCTGTGTGTTGTAGGTAAAGATGTAGCTGCAAACTGGAGTAAACTAATGCATTTTTCCCTTTCTGTGTTTCTTACCTTGGCTGTAGAGCTGTGATGGCAAAGCGGGTAGCGGACAAAGAACTGAATGACCGAAACTGGGATCAGGAGGATGAAGGAGAAGAGGTACGTCTGTACTGTATTTATAGTAGGTCACATCCAGCCCTCAGGGGAGTTATTTTGTGGGTAGAATAGGTGTGCTACATTTCTTAAATCTAGTTTATGAAATTTCCGTACAAGGGAGAAGATGCCAGTTTGTACTTGTATGTCAAGGTGAACTTCAGACAACTCTCCTTGCTCCGTCAAGATCTCTGTATCTCAAAATAGTTTCCTTTTTTCCCTTTTCCACTCTAGCCTTGCACTCCCTTTGATATACTGAAGCTGGAAACGCATTGTTCAGGGAAAAGAGCACATGGGAAGCAATTTGTGCAGTGAATCTGTCAGAACTTGTGTGACTAAAGGTTTCAGTTATTCCAAGGGGATTCAAAACATTCCCAAATACACTTTTAAATCTTAAACTTTTAAAATGTCTTGGAACCTCAAAGAAAACGTAATACCTTTAAATATGGAAACATGCCTTTAATTTCTAAATGGGTATTTTCATTTATGAAGTAGTACTGAGCTGTGTATAAATGAGAACAGATTAAAAGAACATGGGTTTGCTGTGTATGTCATTGTTGCCGTCTAACATGACTTCTACTGGTTGCAAATGTATTCTGAACATAATTTTAACTGAATTTCTTAAAAGAAATGCTGTACATTCCTATTTGTCTGAATAAATAAATTATGTGAATCAATTTCAGCATAGATGTTTCTCTGGATAGCCTGTATCAAAGTATAGTATAGTTATTTGTATAAGCACTAATTACCAGCTATAATCAGAGGACTTCTAATTTCTTAATTGCAAATTTACATTTCCTCCTCACGTTAGAAAACGCTTTACCATCATGATTTGGTAACTCCTGTCTGCAGAAAATGGCTGATGCATGTGCACCGTGTAGCTGGTCATTCTTTCTTCCTTTGGAATTGTCAGCCTTGTCGCTGGATGAACTTGTCCATTTTTCTCAGTGTGAAGCACAGGACCCTAACTTTGCACAGTAGATACTACAAGAATCACTGCATCCTCCTGAAAAGCATTTATGGGAGATCTGAGGAACTTTGTCTCTATAAAAATATTTTTTCTTGTTTACAGGCTGGAACATTCTCTGTTGCAAGTCAAGACGTCCTGAAAAATAGGGCTATTAAAAAGGCCAAGCGCAGAAATGCAGCAGCAGAGGTGATTTCACAGATTGTCCTGTCTAATTGACATGCCAACAAAATAAGGTTCCATCTTTGTGGTTCTTGGTCGTTTAATACAGATTTTTGCATTAATGATGGGGGTTGGTCTTCTAAAGTTAACCCTCTGTTTAATGGACTATTGTGAGGAAAGGTTTGTCCGATATTGTCAAGTGTACTTTTGATTTAAAGATTTTGATCGCAGACTTCATTATTGAAGAGAATTGTCTGGTGGATTTTTATGAAAGTCAAGACCTTTCCCAAGCTTTTGAGACAGGGTTCTAAACTATGTAAAAGGACATAAGGTTTTCTTCTTGTGTGCTTTCTGGAGTACTGCTTTCGGTAATACTTAAATTGTCGATGGTGTCTGTAATTCCAGGTTTTAATGAATGTATGGGTTACTTTTACTACATGTAATCTATTACCTCTTAAAACTGTGTACGGCTGTAAATATGATGTATAAATACATTGTATCTCATTTCTGTGTACTGGTTTAGGGAGAGAGTGGTGGGAACTTCAAAGGTTTTAAAGGCTTCACTCTGAGTGCGTCTGGGTCGGCAGGAGGCTTTGCAGGATTTGGAAATGGTTCTGGACTCAAACCTCTGTCTAGCCTCACCAATGGAAATGGGAGCTCATCCAGCACACCCTCCTTTTCAGGATTCAGCAGCACATCTGACTCAAAAGCCACGACTGGTAAGCATGTTGGTCTCATAAAGCATGTGACGTTAGACAAAAGCAATGGTTCTACTCTGATCTGAGCTCAAAGTTGTGCAGTTTTAGACAAATGCCTTTGTAGAGCGAGGCTGACATATGAAAAAATCTCTTACTTGTGTAGCTGTGCATTTATGCCTTAGTCTTGACTTGTATGCATACTTATTTCCCTAGCCTTTGGTGTGAGATGCCTTATTCAATTTGCGTAGGTGTGTATTCTGAAGATATCGCATTTTATCCATTAGAGCTGTTGGAATTTTCCCCAGTCTCCTGCTTTTTAGTACAGATTGATCCTCATAGTCTAGATACTCCAGGTTTGGGCTGGTGATGTCGTTAGATGGCTGGGATTGGAATGCCCCTAAGCAGTAGTGCATAATTGATGTGTTGGGGGGGGTTTGGTGCTTTGGCCAGCTTGCTGAAGAAACAATGAACCTTGTGATTTACCATTTGTCTGTAGCATCACTCTGATGGTTGATGCTAACACTCCTCTAGGCAGTATTATACTTGAAATTGGGCGCGTTGATGATGCACAATCCTTGTCCTTCCTGTGCTAGTTTAAGGTGTGCAGAGCTGATCAATTTCACAAGGGCGGGTAATAAAAAAAAGGGATGTTTTTCATGTTGTTCATATTGAAATCCTAAAGATGCACGTCTCATTTTGCAACCAGAACCTTTTAGCTTAGAGAAGAGGGTTATAACCCTATCAGTCTGATCCAGAGTGAAATGAAATGAAAACTGGCCTACCACCCACCCTCTGGAACTTTATGCTTTCGTCCTATTACAACAGCCTGGCTGTTGCGTTTCTGGTGTAGAAGAACTTCTGCTTTCTGGGTTTCTCTATATCCTGCAGTTGATGTTTGAATACGAGTGCTGTTTTAAGGCCCTCACTTCTGTAAAAAAAAAAAAGTAGTCCTCATATTTATACAAAAGAATGAATTGCTTGGTTTTAAATGCGCCTTGTTAATACGGTATGGTTTGTGCCGAGTACACTTTGGGTATATTGCAATGGATTTTAAAACCTTATTTGGTGAGTAGTGCTAATGTAAACAAGGAGGGTATATGTTGTATCAACGGTGAAAATTGTTTCTTATTCTCAAATTTTACATTTTGCTTTTTATCATGTATTCTTAAGTGATGTCGCAGGTTTTATAATTCTTTGTTCACATCTTAATAAAAAAAACACACTTTTCAAAGACCTACTGGTGAAAGTTCTGCATTAATTATAACAAGAGGCAAATTTCTCTTTACTCGCAGAAAGAAGCTGCAGTTAAATCATGCATTCCTAAGAGCTAGATTCTGAGACCGCTAGCTTAATCATTTAACTGTAGCTTACAGGGAGGCAGATGAGAAGCTGTCTTGGGAACTCATTTGAAATTCCTCAAGGCTCATTTGTGGTTATTTATAATTCAACCGTTTGTAAGATGTATGGTCTGCCTTGAGGTTATGAGAAGACGGGGTGAAAGTCCAATTAAACACTGGATTGTCAGCGGTGCGTATCATTTCGTTAGTATCCAGTCATATTGTGGAGTTCTAGGCAATGTCTTTCTTTTTTTTGTCTTCTATAATAGAGTCGTTAACATTCAACGGTCCTGCCTCCTCCCAGCCACAGAGTAATGATGTCAGTAGACAGTCGAACGGCGTGACTCAGTCCAGCTCTGCCCCCTCGTCTCAGAGCTCCAGCCGTTGCAGCCGCGAGTACAACAGACAGCTCACTGCCCTGAACTGCTCCGTGCGCGACTGGATCGCGAAGCACGTCAACGACAACCCCCTGTGCGATCTCAACCCCATCTTCAAGGATTACGAGAGGCATTTAGCCACCATCGAAGAGAAATACGGCGGGAGCTCCGACAGCGGCTCCGAGAGCGAGCCCGGCAGCAGGCAGGCAGAGGCGCAGCCGGGCTCCGTTCCCGGCTCCTCCGGCGCGCCTCAGCAGAAAGCCACCGCAGCTTTGTTCTCGTTCAGCAAGGAGGAGAAAGAGAGCAGCAGCGCTCCCGCCCCCAGTGCCCCTGCTCCTAATGTCACCTTCAATTTTGGGCAGAAGGTAGACAGCTCCGCCCTGGGTCCCCTGCCCGCCAGCAGCACAGCCAGTTTCTCTTTCTCCAGCCAGGGCACCGGCTCTTTGTTCGGGAGCCAAGGCACGACTCCAGCCTCAACTTTCTCCTTCACCAGCGCTAAAACCAGCGCCCCCAGTGAAGAGAAAACAAAAGGTACCTCTTTATTTGTTTTGTTTTTTTTACATCTGTGAAAATCTCAGCAGCGCAACTTTTTTTTTTCCTCCATTTTTCAGTTTTTTTTTCCCCCCATCATCTCGGAAACAAATCGGTGAATTTCGCCATGCCTGGGACCATTCGCATTCCATTAGATTGTTTTTGGGGGGCAGAACAATTAATTTGATAATGAAATGAGTCTGCTCCTGAAGAGTTTAGATTTAATTATATTGTGGTAATGTGCATTTTACCCTGCTTGTCTAGATGGCTGCATTAGTTTCAAGAAAAAGCTAGTAGTTTTACTTCTGCTTCTAAGACAGTGCACTTAACTCCGATTGTCACTGAAGGAACAATTGCTTGAGCAGTTTTTATCGAGGTACTTCTCACATGGCAGCCAAGGAGAGCTTTCTTTGATTCAGCCTGGTTATTGCTGCATGACTTGCAGAATAATTAATTCCATCAGTTTGTGGATACTAGCTTGATTGTATGTTAATTTTTATCTGATTAAAAATTAAAATGAGCGCTGCCTTTTCTTTTAGTCATTTTAATCTCTTCTAAGCTATATATACGTTTCCAGTAAAGCTTAATGAAAGTGCTCATGAATTTAGAACAACAGGGCTACTTTCAAAGCTTTACGTGCCTTAAGATTTAGTCGGAAAAAAATCTATTCAGCGTAGTTTAAGTGTCTTAAGATATAAGTTGTGTATGTCATTAAGCTATCATAGCAATCAGAATGCCTCTTTTGTGTTGTACTTACTGGCTGGATGCCACTTCTTAAATATGGATGGACAACTTAATTTGGCTTTTTAAGCTCTAAATGTGCTTAAGTAATATTTTCTAACAAGTGTACTAGATTTGATACCATTTTGTCTTAAACCTATTTAGTGCAAATGGGAAATTTGCTGTATTGTCTTAAGTTGTCCTTTTAGCTCTCCTTTTTATTGCATTAATCGTGTTACACGAATTCCACAAATGCTGTAGTAATAGTGTTTATTAAAATGCTACTTGGGCAAATCCAGTATTTGTAAAAATGATTAAGATTGTACTTATAAAAAAAAATGCATTTATTTATAACAGGTTACCCTTTTTTGTGTTGTAACTTAAATTATCAATAACATGAATGCCTGTTTTTATGGACTCATAGCTGTACTGTACATTAGAATAAGCTTTATTACTTGTTTTGCACATTTGTTTTAGAACATGAGCTGTTTGGGTAGAATGTGGGGGCATTTTACATCCAGGAATTTGGAGCTTGTCTTTGATCAGGTGTTTCAAGGAATAGTGTGGCATGGTAAAAAAAAGGCAAATGTGGCCTACCTAAATGTTCACAAAGTCCAAGAAATAAAATTGTATCTTCAGGCCAGGGCAGTGTGGTAATCAGTCACAACTGTGATCAATCGGCGTGTGCCACTGGCATTTCCAGGTTCGAATGGTGGCATAGTGCCACACGAAAAGTGGGACATCGAATGTTAATGCAAGACCAAGTTTACATTTGGACCAATTAAAACATTTCCTGCTCTCATATCGTGCAAAGATTGAAACGATTATTGACAAGTAGTTATACTGTGTTTTAGTTGTTGCAAGAGGAAGATTATGAGTATGAGGTGACATAATGCATTTGCTGCACTGTGTGGAAATTGCCTGAACTCCCAACCAGGCTGCTTATATTCAACTTCACAAAGGTTTCTGGAAGTTAGATAGAACAGACATCACAAAATATCTAAATACAACATTTTGCCTGCTCAGATTTTTGTAGCATTATGCACAGTTTTTAAAGATATCACCGTTATTGTGTTGAAATGCTTCTGTGGTCGATGTTCCTACTTCAGTCAATCTTGAGGTGCAAACGGAGTGCTGTGAATCCTGAATAGATCAAAGATGCAACACCAGATTATAATGAAAAGATCTTGCATCTGAAGCTGATCGATTTTTAAAACCCCACTTTTTAAAGCCCTGTTGTTTTTTTGGGGGGTTTTAGGCTTCCACGGTTTCTGACTAGATCTTTTTCTTCACAGATGAAAATGCAGGAGATGAGGAATCTGAGGAGCCCCCTAAGCCTGTTGTTAATGAAGTGAAGGAAGATGATGCCTTCTTCTCAAAAAAGTGAGAATGAATTCCCTTTGAATCATCCTTACTGTGACAATTGTTTGTGCATGTCTCACTGGAAAGTTTTTTCTTGACTTACGAAACATAACCAGTGTAGTAGTGGTCTTCCTAACCTGGCCTTTTAAGGAACCGTAATGAACTGTTACCAGAGTTAGTGATTTAAGTCTACCAGATCTTTTAAGCTAATCTTTATCTTCCATTTTATTTAGTCATCCTTTAATATGAGGAGGGTGGCTGCGCTTGAGTGAGTCGTCAAGCTGCGTTATGAAAAAATAAACATTTAGAAGGCTTTCTTCTGTGGAAACAAAGGCTTTTGTATTATTAGGTACTTTGTTTTGAATTGTCAGTTACTCCTGAGAACTGAACTGTAGTAAATGTATGGCTTAGATGTGACTGAAAATCAGTCCTGTGCAACTGGAGCCATTCTGAAGTATTATGGCCCGTGCTGTAGTTCAGGTGTTTTGTTTCAATGGGGTTTTATTTTTCATTAAATCCCCAAAACAGTTGAGTAAAAGGGAATGAAGCTGATCCAAATGTCAATGAATTCGTATTCTGAAATGGCCATTCCTGTTTTCTGGGGGTTCCCTCCTCGATTACCTGCTCGGCTTATTTTCTGTTTCAGGTGCAAACTGTTCTACAAAAAAGAGAATGAATTTAAAGAAAAAGGAGTTGGAACACTTCATCTGAAGCTTGTTGCAGACAAAAAGACCCAGCTTCTAGTGAGAGCAGACACCAATTTAGGTGAGTTCATTTTTTATGATGTTGTCATGTCATGTTTTTTTTACGTTGTTTCAATAGCTAAATAATGGAGTTGGAGGTACTGTTTGAATTGCATTCTCTGTGATTCAATTTCAAGTATTGTTGCATAATTTAGCACGGGAGAGCACAGATTATTTGGAACTGTGGGGCTTTCCAAGTTGGGTCCACTTGTCATCTTGAAGGAATTAGGTGGAATATCCTCACTTTGTTTCTTTTATACTGAGAGTAAGTCTTTTCACATGTATCGAGAGTTTCCCCATCACCCCACTCATCTGCAGTAGCTGTGCAGCTGTCGGGGGTTGCAGCTAAAAGTTATTGAAAGTTGAACGCGACACGTGAAAAATCAGGGCACGTCCCCTCCTTGTCATAACATGGTTGTGAGGGTCTGGTTCAGACGCAGTCCAGTGATACATAATATAAGAAGTAAACCCGCAACAGAACTGACAATGAAGGACTTGTAAATATTTCTTTTATCCACATAATTCTAGTGCGTAGAAAGCTTTCAGTTCTGTATCACTTGACGTTCCTAGCAGCTGCCTTAATCTGCCTTGAAAATCCTTGGTTGGGTGCCCATGCTGTTTGAGGTGACAAACGTGAACTGCAAAGAAATAAAAAGATAATGCAGCCATTACATGAATTTCAGAAACATTTATCTGAAAAGGTACAAGAGGAAGCAGCCTCCCAGTCTTTCTACATTTTTGTTCTATTGTGGAGATTTACCTTGTCATTAGAAACATTTACTTGTTAGCCTCTAACACGTTGTCCTGCCGAGCCAACCTCGCTCATGGTTAAGGAGGCCTGAATGCTTGTAATAGCTTCACACAAGCTGCACACATTTCTATCTCCCAGGCAGCAGGATTTGACTGTTTCAGAAACAGGAAGCAAAAGGCTCTATGACTTGCAGCAGCTTGACATTGGATATCTTACCCTGTTTGGCACCAAAAGTGTTTATAGATGATATGTAGAAAAGTTCTCTTTCTGTGCCCTCCCCAGTCACCAGAACATCTGCACAACTTTTCTTGCTGCAAACCCTTCAGTCTTAAGTTTGGATTTTAATAATCTTTCTAATTCCATTTTTCATTTGATTGTTTTAATGTTAGTAAATAGTGTCTCAGACTGTTGCTGCCCGATAGTCAAATGGGATATTACATTTCAGTGTTCTTAGGATTTTCTTGTTTTCCCATACTGGAGTTTTCACTGTGCTTTTGCAGTGATCAGATGCAATTTACACATCGACTTAAATATTTCTAGTAAAATCCTCAATTCATTTAGGAATGCACTGCTTAGTGTTCAGGTTTCCCAGTTGGTGAAATTGCCATCATTTGTGGTTTGTATTTGTTTTGGTCTTGAGTATTCTTGTACTTCTTACTTGTTCTCTTGCAATAAAACTATTTGTTTTTCTTAGGTTAGATCTTGCTGTTAAATAGAGCTTGTATAGCCTTATATTTTAAAAAAGAGACTGCAGTAACTAGTGTCCTGTAACTGTATCTTTATAAAGTGCTGCTCTTTGGTAACATGATTGTATGAACAGGTGAATTTTAGCATTTCACCTTTGATTTCTGGGCTGTTTCCTTCAGCTCTGTAAAACACTTCATTTGTGGTAGCCTACAAACCTTAGTTTTACAGTGTCCTGTAGTACTCCGTATTTTCTCCAGTGCCTTGACAGCTCAGCCAAATCCAGATGACATTTGTGTCTATTGTCTTGTGAACCCTTTTGTTTGAAAAAACACTAGCTTTCTAAAAGGGTTAAAATTTTGAGGTGCTGAGCAGATTGAGAATAAAAAACATTTTTATATTCATAGTTCTATGGAATTAGTACAACACTCACTCCGTAGTGTTATTTTACTCTCGGGTGATTTCACATTGGTTCTATTTGTGCCAGGCTTTTCCAAGATCAGGGTAATTTATGTCTAAAACAAAACTTTGAGCACAGCGGAACATGACTCTTTTCTGTTCTATAGGAAACATCCTGCTGAATATTCTGTTGCAGTCATCAATGCCATGTACAAGAATGGGAAAGAACAATGTCATGGTGGTCTGTGTCCCCAATCCTCCAGTGGATGAGAAAAATCCGACGGCACCTGTCCCCATCTTAATCAGAGTAAAAACAGCAGAGGATGCTGATGAACTACACAAACTCCTCCTGGAAAAGAAAGCATAGCTTAGAGCCACACTGCACTATGATAATTGTCTGCTTTTTTCCTCTCTGGTTTTCCTTGATTCTGTCCAGTTTTAGTTGTCCAGTGGTATGGGATGCAATGAAATTTGCAATGTTATAGCACAGTTTATATTGCTGTGAAAAGTCAGATTTTTGAACATCTTGCTGTAATCTGATTAACAAGATTGAAAATAAAGGACTCCCCTGCTTTGTTGCATGCATATTTTAGAGTTTTATAGTTATAATACTGTGAAATTTAAATCCACGTTTAATTTGCCTTGAATCTAGGCTATTGGACATTGATTTGGCCGAACTCTTGGCTTGGTAACTTGAAAGATTTGTCATCTTTGAAACGTGAAAGGGATGTCTCCTTATGTACATCTGTTTTAATTCAAAAACAAACATTATGAGCTGCCTGGATTCAGTAACATTCCAGTGATTTTTTTCTTTTGCTGCTATCATTTAAGTAAATTGGAATCTATAACAGTTAATAAATTTCCTCGAGCAGTTTTAATTTAAAATGTCAATGGTACTTCATTCTTTTTGACAATATTGTGCCAGAAAACCTGTAACTACCTGTAACTATGGGAATCATGGCTGAATATGACTATTGTACAGTTGAATATTTTATACTTCTGATAAAATGGAAGTCCGTTATTGACTTGTCTGAAAGTGAGAGACTTCTGGCGGAGTCTGAAGTGACCCGTGTGTCCTTTCCCCTTGGATGTTTGCAAACTTCTCCCGTATATTATAGCACCATTTAGACACTGCCTTGCATTGTATGTCTTTTGTAACTTAGCCATTTAAAGTTATTTTACTGAAGCGAGTGAGCTCATTATCAGATTGAAATGAAATACAGTTTAACTTTCAGGTTTTCACAGGTTTTTCTTAATTGTTCATAGGATATCTGTAGTTATCAGGGTTTTGATTAGAACTTGAATTACCTAAATTTAAAACGTAGAGCATTGATTCCTGTCTGTTAAAAAGGAGTTTAATTAAAATATTTATTATAGCAAATTATTAGTGTTTGACCACTTTGGTCTACATATTTTATGTACAGGATACTGATAAACGTCGTTGGCCTATTCGGATAACGTTGACCATTAACCATGCACTCTGGAGCAGTGAAAATTGGGGTGTCTACTAACATGCACAAAGACCACGTAAGCCACAGGGCACCAACTGTATCAGTGTCTGCCAGGCTTGCTGCTCAAAGAACATGCTGTGCATTCTGTTGTACAGCCAAAGTGATGTCCGTGCCCTCTCGGATGTCTTGACCATTGTTCCGTTTCTGTGTAGCGTTTCATTGCTCCATGGTTCACAAATTTAATGATGGCTCGGATAAGCGATCTAACTTCATAAGCATTCTGTATATTTGTTTTGAGAAAAATGTTAATAGAATTATTCTGTATTTCATAGCAATTTCTGTTCCACAAATTGTCTTAATTTTCTTGAGGTTTATTGCAGATGAAAGTCAGCAGTGTGTCAGATGTTTAGTTTATGGCAGTCAGTATTTCAGAATGGAACTCATTGATTTTGTTTTCAAAGTGACCTTTGTATTGCCTTTGTATAAGTACTGACCTTTATGCAGAGGTGCCCAATATGTTTGTAATAGCTGTTTACAAAGTGATTGGTGAATAAACCATATTACACTTTCTTGATGTTGCTTTCCGTTTGGATTTAAAATTCATATTAACATTTTTTATCTTATGTGATTACACATACATTGCATAAACTTTTAATGACTGCGAACATTTTTGTATCTAAACTGAATTTGATCTGTGACCTTAACAGATTGAATAGATACCTACTGTATATAAAAACTGCCATGTGCAATCAATCTCAAAAACCCAACTCTTACAATATAAGGAGGAGCTGTTCCATGTCTTAAGTTTACATTTTATTATGAACACTTACAATACCAGGAGGCCCAGTGACTAATCAGGTTTATGGGTATTCTGAAATGCCCACTTGTGATATGATTACACTTGATCTAGGTCAGTCTGTGGTCTTCTGCGGTCTAGTGAAGGTGAATGATCTCTAAGTGCCCTTTTGACTGTTTTAAGCAGGTATCATGTATACAAAAGAATTAAATTTTCTTCAACCATATCGCCACTTCATCACACTTTAATTACAGTTCATAATTGGAAGTGAAAATCCGCACAGAGTCTGCAGTGTTTTATTCTCTATTTTTAGCGGTTTATCATAGCATTTGCACACAATTGAAACGCCAAACGTAAAGCTAAATATTGAAAGTGAAGAAGCTGGAAATTCTACCAATATTAAGCTTCAGGGTAAGCACGAGAAGTTCTCAACCTTTTCAACTGTTGTTCAGTTACCCTGACCTCTGTAAACGTTTGCAATTGTCTATGCGTCTAAAAAGATGCAAGTTGCCAGAAACTTTTAAAATGCTCAGGTTCCACATTTCTAACAAAATGAAACCATTCCTGTTAACATCTCTAAACCAGCAATCGGAACATTGTTTCTACTGTAGAGGTTCTCCGTTGGGTTCCTGAGAGACCACCACGGCCACCGGTTTTGACTATGGTGAAGTTCTAAACTGTGAGTTAAATTTTCATTTTTGGTGTGTTTTTAAATTAGTTTCATGGGATTTATAATTGCTTTCAATTCTCTTATTGCTTTCAAAGCAGGGGAAAAGGATAGTGTTCTATGAGAATGGGATTGAATCTCAATGCAATAAAACAATTGATATACTAGCCTGCCACAAGGTGGCACTGTACAGTTAGCTGAGTGAAGTCCCTTGCTCAAGGATACATCAGTAGTGCTCATAACCAGAATTTGAACTGGCAACCTCCCAGTTATACATATACACAAATTATCATTATTTTACAATACTGCTATATCACAGTTATCTTGACATCAACACTTTTCATGCATGCAACACAGCCTTTGCTAATCCATGCAACAGTTTTGTAGCTGCTTTATCCAGTACTGGATCACAGGGGAACTGCAGCTTATCCTGGCATGAAATGGGTGCGAGGCAGGATAAACCCTGGACAGGATGCCAGTCCCTTGCAGGGCACATGCAGAGCAAAACTCATACCAGGGCCAGTTTTTCCCAGAAGCCAGTTAACCCACCAGTAGGTCTCTGGACTGTGGGAGGAAACCTGCACATAGCACCCCAGTCCAGAATTGACTAACGATAACAGAATTGATGCTAATCATGCCAGCTTCTTTGCTAATTACAGATTGAAAATACCTCTACTAAGGGAGTGAACTTGGGACACAACGTCAGCCAGTAGACATAATAAAAAAACTCCTCTAAAATTGACAGTAGGGGGAGCCATTGCTCTAGCACAAATCATTCTGTTAGGATGACTAACAGGGCATTTTTCGTTTTTTTAATGAAAGCAGCTAGTGACAACAAAGCCATGTAATAATAAAAGTCCTCTGTTTAATTATCCTCAGCATAAGGGGATGTTGTGTTCATTTGCTTGGTAATAATAATAAT